GGGGAAGGAGCGGGTGTCGAAGTGGGAGCCGCCGAGGACGTAGAGGTGGGGGCCGAGGGCGAGGGCGGCGAAGTTGCAGAGGCCGTAGACGTGGGGGTTGCAGGGCATGGGGGGGAGGGGGCACCAGGCGAGGGCTTTTGGGTCGAAGAGGAAGGGCGATGCGATTGAAGGGTCCTGCGGGAATATGCATAGAAGCTGATTCCGTTTATTCAATGAGGTTAGGAAGGTTTTTGAGGATAGCAGCAGTTTCCATGATTTGCACGTCACTTTCAGCCTCCCGTGGTGGGCGTACGGCACCTTCGACAGGATCCACGCCCCCACGTCGTTTGGCAGTCCCGGGATCACCATACCCAGATCTCCGCCCTCGCAATCGCAATTCATCTTCTCTCTCAACGCATTATTAACTTTTTCAGCAACACACTCCGCTGTCACGGCTCTGGCCTCTGACTCCCTAATCCAAGCCAAGCATACACTTGCCCATTTCTTTTATATCAAACTAACACCCTATTTATATTCATTTCTCTCCTAACTTACTTTTCTTTACCTTTTTCCTAAACATATCACTATTTTTTAATCTTTTTACTTTCTAACTACTTTTTCACAACTATCTGTCAACTCCAATCCAACTCTCTTATAGTTGGCTAAACGACCACTGTGGTGCGCTTTTAGAAACTTATTACTAAAATGGGGCTGTTTTAAAATATTTTACACCTTTAGGGCTTTTTTACTGGGTGTCGCTATGGCCCATAGCGACATCCATGACACGTGTTTTTTTTTTTTTTTGCTTGGTTGGGTTGGATCAGTGTCGCTATCAGCTGGTCCACCACAGCTGATGGGCTTAAAAAAATTATGTAGCCCATAACAACACTGGGTAAACAAAAAAATAAAAAAAAAGGAAAATAATAATAATGTAAAATAAATATAATAAAGTGAACTATTTATTATATAATTATAAAAAGAAAATTAAGTTTTAAAAAAACGTAATTTTAAAATAAATAAAATGTATTTTTTTAACACAGGCGCTGTGGCCCATAGCGCCTGAGTGGAGCTATGGGCCATAGCGCCCC